AAGGGAGAGAAGGAAGAGGGGGGAGAGGAAAAAAAAAAAAGGAAAAAGAAGGAGGATAGGGGAGGAGGGGAGAAAAGAGGGGGTAGATAGAGTGAGGAAAAGATGGGAAAGAAGAAGGAAGTGGAGGTGGAGGGAAGGAGAAGGAGGGAGAGGGGGAGGGGAGGGGTGGGGGGGGGGGGGGGTTCACAGAGGAAGGGAAAAACAAGTGGTGGGAGGGCGGAAGCAGCAATAATATTAACGAGTCCAGCAACGGCAACAGAACGTCACTACTATCAACGAACTGAGCTCTTCTGCTGTGAGGGAGAAAATTCCGTGACAAGGAGTTTTAAGGACAGTGAAGAACAGTCACTTCACTTCACCAGATTATACAGAGCACAGTCCAGAATCAACCTGCAGCTGAAAGGGAAATTCACATTCAAGACGGGGTTATCAGTGGATGGCAAGGAAGCAGGAGGATGAATCTCTCCGGTTGATTGGATGCGGGTACGCCGGCAGCTCAAGGCAAGGACAGGACAGGACGTGATCAGACTATCAGAATGGCAGTTTCGAGAAGCAGGAAAATAGCAGTCAGATGTCTTCTCTGATCACAGCGACCGAGGAAAGTTATACTGTTCGTCTATTCTATTCCCTGATGAAGTCACTTCTGAGGTCTTGAGGGACAATTCCCACAGTGGATCTTCGGAAAGGCTGATCACCGCCGCGCTGAATCAATGATGTAAATAATGTCTAGATACTCGAAAACAGTTACTTATTTATTGCAAAGCTGTGAGAACGGAGTATAAGTAGTCTTTGACAGCGTACAGAAAAGCCTTCGTTTGCAATCATGATTACTGTCGTGTTGGAACGCTCTATCTACCCATGTGCATAGTCAGTCATAACAAACACAAAAAGGCTTGGCTTGGGCTGGCGATGGATGTACAAGCAAGTTCAGAATGCTTGGCTAGGTAAGGATGCAAGAGAAGAGGCTGATGCTGTACGGAGAACACGGTCCAAGGATGAGCTTCAATAAAATTTGGTTGGATCATTATCCTGGCAAGCTAGAAATCCCCGTGGACTTTCGAATGTACGCCCGCAGTTGCATGACCAAATTGACACCTGACTTCCACATCAAAGTTTGCTATTTGAGCTTCCGACCGAGGATAATCTACGACGACTTATGGCGAGTGTGTAGAGGTACTCGAGAAGCAATGCCAGAACATCGCAGTCGGGATTGCTACTGACCTGTTTGTCAGCTCGCAGCACCATCCCGATGAAGCAGTGGTTGACATGTTATCTAACGAATATCGGACTATCGGAGTTCGAGGATTGAGAATCGAGAGGTCTAGATGACTGCCTTAGTGCAGCCCCATCCGGAATCCGGGCCATTCAGCATTTCCAAATCACCCCATTGCAGACCCATTGGTTTAGGTTGCATGCCTCCCTTGCTCCTCACTCGGTTTCCGGCCACACTCAGCATTGCAACTCAGCGAGGGTTATCAGTTAGGTTGGTACCAGGAGCACCAGACAGCTTGGCCAGTTGCCAGTTCTCATAGTATCTTGCCCTCTCAACGTCCAGGGGCTGGAGGTGGGTTCAGGTAGCCTCACTCAGAACAACCATGCTTGTGCATCCCTCCGTGTCGGGCAGGGATAACCGTGCGCCTACTTGTACCACACTGGGTGCCTTGTGTCCGTCGTGATGCATGTGCTTTTAGGCTTCATTGTCCGTTAGCCATCTCCTTGGCAGCCTTGGCTGTTCCAATTCCAAATGGCATCACTGGATCAACTTGGAAGTTCATCATCTCCGTGGTCGCCCCGTCGCTTTACCTTCCGCTCCGACCGTATAAATTGCGAGAAAAGCACCGGTCGAGAGTGAAGCGAGCAGTCGCATTCTGCGGGATTCTTGGCACTTGGCAGTCACGCAGGGGGCTCCAAAGTCACCGATGCAGCAACCGTTCTTCAGATAGATGGACCGACGGAGTTTAGGTTACCCGACGCCCCTTACTGTCCGCTGTCCTAGACTTATCGACCCAGCCGCACAGTCAGCGCGATGAGGGTCGCATACGCAGCCACACTCAAAGCTGTAAGGACCAGCACCGCATTCCCACTCGTCTTGAATTTGTGGCGTTGAACTCCGTCTTCTCCGACTTCGGAAAAGAACTGACGGTTTCCCTGCTGACGACGGAAAAGACCGATAACGAGTACACCCGTCCCGTAGATAGCGAAGAGAGCCCCGGTGCTGTAGAATTCGCTGGTGAAGATCTTGAGGACAACAAGGGCAAATGAGAATTGTGACAGTGCTGTCCGGACATAGGCGCCTTCAAAAGTCCGTTGCGCGGCTCGTACTTCGACAATCTCGTCCGATGTGAGAGCGACCGTCCGGGCACGGTGCATCCGGAGATGATAGCGGTCAGCTGCGCGACGCTGGCACACGTCAGAACCATACCACAAAAAAGCAGCGTGATACAAAGTCAAACGATGCTATGAACACGACCAAACTAAGCGAAGAAAATTGTAGGCTAATTTTCTTGGATGCTCAAGACGTACCTCGAACATAGCGACGTGTCAGGCAGGGTTGGACTGTATGATCCCGCTATTTTGAGTGACACAGGGACAGCAGACCAAAGAGCGACAAACCCCAGCAGTGTTGATAATAGCTGGGCGATTCGACAGCCTAATCCTATGGTCTCGACCTTCTTTGCCTTCATCAAGATACTCGGATCTGAGCTGGAAGTTGACTCCCGAGAGTAGGTTGGTATGAACTCCAGAGTTTCCGTGAGGAGAATACGTCAATTTTGGAGCTCACGTGGATCCCTCAGAGCAAAGACATGGAAGATGTCCTGTTCCCGGTCCTTGCCATCCAAATTCAGTAATGATGGAATTGGTTTGTCTTGAAACTCTTCGAATCTGAGCAAGTATCTTCTTTCAACGTACTGCCCTGGAATCTCCTATCATTACTTTGTTTACACCGTAGTTCCAACACAGTCCTCATCTCATTTCCCCACCAATAAATAACCCAAGAGCCTTCTCTAAGCGGCCAACAAACAGGACAAACACCAACCCCATCATCGGCTTTCGATTTTGCCCAATGCAGTAGTGTTCAATCGCCGGTTATCCCCCATTATTATTCCCCCCATTCTCTCTCTCCCACTCTTTCAATGGAATTGATGGATCTCCCCCCACGTCGGCCTCTTGTCCGAACAACTGGATGGAGACACCGTCGGTTTGATCGTGGTGGCTTTGGCCAACCTGACAACTTGAACATTCGAACAACAAATGTATATCTCTTAAACTAGGTAGCCTGTCGGGTACAATTCCCCCGACTTTTTTTCTCTCTTTTCCTTCTCTTGTCGTGGCCATTTCTCCTCCTTTATCCAAATTGTTTGATCTTCACGCAATCGCAGTAGTTGTAACGAGCACTCCGTCAATACTATCGAGATGGGGAAGGTATTTGACGCTGCAGAAGGTACGCTACACCTTAAAACATCCATCGAGAGAGTTCCTTGTCAATGTTCTGTCAATTGATCGAAAATGTCGGCTAACCATATCATCGTAATGCTCAGTCGCGAAGCATAATACCCCCAACAGTTGTTGGGTGATTTTGTACGGAAAAGTGTACGATGTATGTCTCCTTCAGCATTTATCTTCTAATTGAGGTTGGTTCACCCTGATTGATACAACCTCCAGGTCACAGACTTTCTTTCCGAACATCCTGGGGGTGCCAAGATCATTCTCAAGCTTGCCGGCAAAGATGCTACCGAGGAATATGATCCTATCCATCCTCCAGGCATTCTCGAGGAGAATCTCAAGCCTGAAGCATTGCTAGGAACCGTCAACCCAGATACGCTACCCAAGATACAGGCAGAGCCTTCCCCAGCGGTAGCCGAGGAGAGCAAAGGGCAGGTCCCCATGGAAGCACTCCTCAACATGGACGACATTGAGCAAGTAGCCACAAAGAACGTCAGCAAAAAGGCCTGGGCCTACTACTACTCAGCATCCGATGATAAAATCACCAAGCGGTTCAATACCGAAGTGTACAGATCCATCATTTTGCGACCAAGGGTGTTTATCGATTGCACAAAATGCGATTTGGATACCTCTCTTCTTGGTCACAAGCTTGGAATGCCAATATATGTGTCGCCTGCTGCTATGGCTCGCCTGGGCCATCCAGCAGGTGAGGCAGGCATTGCAGAGGCGTGTCGCAGCTTCGGGGCTATGCAAATCATCTCCAACAATGCATCCATGACACCAGAGCAGATCGTCAAGGATGCTGCTCCGGATCAGGTCTTTGGATGGCAAATCTACGTTCAGATCGACCGCAAGAAGAGTGAAGCGATGTTGGCACGCATCAATAAGCTAAAGGCGATCAAATTTATCGTCCTCACCCTTGATGCTCCCGTTCCCGGTAAACGAGAGGATGACGAGCGAGGCAACAACGTTGCTGCTTCGATGTCCGTTCCCAGTGCTGCGAAAGCGGCAGACAAAGCCGCAGATGGTACTCCGGATGTGAACCAAGCTGGGGGTGTTGGAAAGCAATTGTTTGCCGGAACAGACCCGTCTCTCACTTGGAAGGACACTTTGCCGTGGCTGGCTAAGCACACAGGTTTGCCTATTATACTCAAGGGTCTCCAAACACATGAGGACGCCTACATCGCGTCGCTTCACACTCCGCAGGTGAAGGGTATCATCCTGTCGAATCACGGCGGCCGAGCCCTAGACACCGCTCCTCCTGCAGTCCACACGCTGGTAGAGATCCGGAAATACTGCCCTGAGGTCTTCGACAAGCTCGATGTTTGGGTAGATGGTGGCATTCGGCGCGGCACAGATGTTGTGAAAGCCCTTTGTCTAGGTGCTAAAGCTGTAGGAATCGGGCGGCCTGCCCTTTGGGGCTTGGGTGCAGGTGGCGTCGATGGTGTTAAGCGCACATTGCAGAGTATGTTCTATCCTCGGAAGTAATCAGAAGCATGTAGGCTGACATCTTTTTCAGTCCTTGCCGACGAAACCAAGACTTGCATGCGGCTGCTTGGTGTCGAAAGAGTGGAGGATTTAGGACCACAGCACGTAAGTTGATCTTCCCTCAATTTCCAGATCTGACGTGGGCGCCTTTGAACGTTTCCCTTGGGCCCGATACTGACCTTGACTAGATCAATACCCGCCTCGTCGAGCAACAGATATATGATGGGCCTTCTGGCCTAGATTCCATTCGGAACGTTTTCCGTGCAAAGCTCTAGTTTCAGAACATCTTAATGACCTTTTCGCCTCTTCCATGCTTGCTCGTCACTTGTGATCCGCGACCTAACCTTACTCCGTAGACCAATACAAATGTAGGCGCCAATGCCATGCTAGCCAAATCCCGCCCTTTTTGTCTGTTGACTAGCTCTGCTGAGAGCTAGTCAACACTGCTGGCGTATGAGTCGAATTTCCCGTGATTACTCTTAGAAGTAGGTTGCTTGCAGTCGCTGATTGGCTTGCAGCAATCTTATGTTCTGCACCATTTCAGTGGTGAAGCTTTCAGGCTGAAGTTGATCATGCTCATATGTTTCTCTTTCCGATCGCTCCGGCTCTAAGCCACAGTGAACAAGCACTTCAGCCAACCTCTCCCAAACCAGTTCCTATCCTTCTGCCAGCCCTTGACCACAAGATCTCTTCCAATCTTGACCACCCCTTCAACTTGTTCATTGGTACCCCAACCAGGAATGGTACTGCCCCAGCAAATGAAGTGAACGCCGATATGGATGGCGATCCGGAAAGTCATATCTTCATCGATCGGGCCGTACCCGTCAAGCAGTCCTTCAATGAGCCAGAGTCCTGCGTCAATGTTCTTGAAATGCTTGAGCTGGTAGAGCTCAGCCACCATCTGGCCCAGATCGAGAGCTCGGGAACCCCAGTGACATAATTCCCAGTCCGTCACGAAGAGAGGAATATCATGTTGCTGCTCCAATGCGGTACTTGGAATTAAAACACTAATCTCATCAATGCCATCGAACTCTTCCAGGTAAAGAGATAGATCAACTTACTTTCCCGACCAAAAATCTCCGTGAATCACCCCAAACCCCTTCCCATCTTTCCAGCCCAGCTCCGCCGCTGCCATGTCCCGGACTTGGTGGAAGATATGCTGGCTTTCTTTCAGAAACGTCGGGAATCGATCGACCATCTTAACGAGATTGTCATAGTTGACCGTGAACTTGATATCGCGCATGGGCTCATTCTTCTCCATCGTCTTGACCAGGTCTTTCTGAGTCTCTTCCGAGACCCAAGTGTGGAAAGAGAGCAGCCACTTCCCCAACGCACGACCGATAGCCGCGGCCATTTCGCGGGAGACATTCTGCGAGTTTTCGGGACAGAGCATGAAAGACTTTAGGTCCAGCGCTCCGGGCAAATCTTCGAGAATCTGAGTGTTGGTGTCATGGTTAAAATGAAACAGACGAGGGGTCTTGACTGTGCAGCTGGTATTGCTGTCGGTGTCCGTCTCGGTTGTAGCGGGGAAGTCATTCAAGGCTTTCAGGATTGTCTCCTCGAACAGCTATTGGCTTTTGATCAGCACAAGTACCGTAGCATCTCTGTTCGTAGACTTACGCAGCGATCTGTAGTCAGCTTGAAGTCTCGATTGGAAGCAACATAGTCCTCTCCGTGTTTGATGATAATCGTTTTCGTCCCGTCCTGGAGGGGCCTAGCGAGAATACCTCGATAGACGAAGTTGGCCGTTCCCCCACTGAGCTGGGTGAGAGAAGAGCACTCGTAGGAGGTTTGTGAGAGCTCCTGCGAGACGAGCGTTGAGATGTCCCGATTTGTGTTCTCAGACATGGCCGTCATGTATAACCTGGGAGAGTGTCGAAATATATATGCTGTCGGTTACCGGCTCGACTTCTTCTAGAGAATGCAGATGGTGACTGATTCGACTGAAATGTCAATAACCATGCCAGTAAATATGATTGCATCTATAGAGAGGTATATCACTCCATACTAATATACACATAGGACGATTCGAGAAGCGGATACGAGACGATACGTTTGGGCCAATAAAATCCCCACAGTCATATGAGTCTTGAGTTGCCGACAGCGGGGACTACTTCGGGAAGTAAGGTAGGTACCTTCGTTCGCCAAGAATACTGATCCATGTGCAGTCGGTCGGTCTTGATATGAATCACCTTGGAAATGTATCCTCGAAAGAATCTCAGGAGAATACACTACTACCTTGACGGCTCTACGCAAGAAGACGAACAAGTATGCGAATACAAAGAATGTCTCGGATTCTCATTCAATCGCTAGTCATATCAGCGTAAGGCATGGACACATTCAATCATTGCTCGGATGAACAAGTATGCTACCATTTGCCACGATAGCAGGCCAACAGAGCCAACAAGCCAACGGGCCAACGGGCTCCAACTCCGACTCAAGGAAGATACGCCTCCGGGTTTATAAATTCATCGAACAGCTTCTCGTACTCCAGATCTCGAGGAGGTAGCTGAACGGGGATCACGGGGGTCTATTGCAGTCAGCTTCAAGGTTCTAACCCATGCCGAGTCTGGATGATAGGCTTACCCTGGGCTTGAAGTAGTTCTTTATCCAAGCCTCTTCCTGGCCAACCCTCTTGCGCAGTACTTTGAGGAGCTCATCATGGTGTGCGGCTGCGGCTATTTGCAGATAGACCTGCTTGTAGTCGGTGATCATGTATCCGGGAACGCAGTTCATGAGCATTTTGAGTATAGTCGGATGGCCGGCCTGACAAGCGATCACGATCAAACCTCTATGACGGTCTTTATTTCTGGCGAGCATGCCCTTGACGCCCAAGTCCAGCAAAGCGCGCACGATAACGGTGTGTTTGGCACGAATGTGGTAAGCCGTCATTGTGTACCCATGGAGTTGGACGTTCAGATTCTGAAGAAGGCACTTGGCGACATCCAAGTGGCGCACCTGGTTCGCCCACTCCAATGCAGTGTAGCCCAGTTCATTCTTGAAATTGATGTCGGCTCCCAAGCTCAATATGTAGTTGACTCGGGCTACATCGTTTCTATAGCACGCATAGTGCAGTTGCCAGTGGAGGACGCCCCAATAGCCGGGGTCGTCTGGACCGAGACCGATTTCGGGGTCGATTTCGTCTATACATCAGTTAGTCGGTCACGGTCAGATCTCGTCATCAAGACTGCCTTGTCTCATGCGTTCTTGATGTATCCGGAGAACCGGAAAGTCGACTTACAGGTGGCCATGTCAAACAACCGGGGGGAAGGATATCCTACGTCCTTGGCCTTTGGGGAAGATCTTGATTCGACTATGCAGACGCGTCAACACAAGGTATATCTTTGTCTATCTCATAATAGGGAGAGATACCTCTTGAAGCTTGTCCGGCTTCAAATGCCGCAGTAAGAGGTCCAGTGAAGCTGTGCAAGAGAGTTGAAAAGCTGATAGGAATTTTCACCTGCAGGTCTGGATACCGAACACAGATGAAGCCTAAGAGCAGAATTTCACAAAGGAAAAGATACATTTCGTTTTCGTGTGTGTGAAGAGGTGCTAGTCGTCTCGGCGATGCGCAACGACATACAGATCCTTTAGGGCTCACGTTGGAGCACCAACATAAAGAGGCTTATAGACAAGGGGACTACGATCACAACCTTTCCAGCAATATGAACCATGATGCTCATTTGCATGGACAACATTCTGTGTTCGTCCACTATACTGACAGAGATCCTTGTTATGAGATCCATATCGCTGCGTAGCATCGTTGAGTAGCTGTTATATACGTCCTCTGTATACCCCGGCGAACTAGGACAGCCGGCAGAGGCAATCTCAAACGAGAGGGTACATCATATTCCGTTAATTGCCAAAGATATACAGTTCTATGTAAGATCAGCAGCATCTGCACTGCATCTCAGGATGGTCGTTAGATGAAGCTCAACTATATAGACGGTCACGTGACAATATACAGGGTCGTCAGTGGTGCAACGACCATTTCGGATGTCGACACTGGAAACTTTTTCCGTAATCTAGGTTGTGAGAGAGCTCTATGGTATGCCATTAATGTGAACTAAATGTTACTGTGTTTTTGTGTTTTTGGGATCGACTATGCCGTTGATATGTTAGTCTGAGGCGGAGAGTATCAGAGAACTCCATGGTCCATATAGGCCAAGAAACTGCGTAAACACAGCTTCGCTCAACATCCCCCTCTTGAATCAAGGAGAGACAAGTGCTTCTTCAAGCCGCTTACTTCATGGCCCAATTGAACGCCTTAACGTTGATAGAGGCTTCGAGTCATTCAGATATCGAGATGGGTATAAGAAGAGAGGGGTCAAAGAGGAAGTTCTGCACCCCAACACCTCCACCAAGACAGACCCCCCCCTCTCTCTCTCTCGCACTGTCGGGCCCCTCCACCCTTTCACCTCAACTTCCACAATTTATACCTGTTGAAGGCTCCTCGTCTCAAGAAAATCTATGCCGTTCTGATTAGCTCTGTCATTTAATCTACCCACCACGCCTACCCTGTGGTTCAAGTTCTCAGCTTCTCAGCTGGGGCCCCGGTGTCCCCCGTCGAGCTGCAGATCAAGGATTCTCGTCCCTCGATCCTGCTCCACCATATCTCGAAGCTTGGCCGTACTGCCAAGAAGAGTCTACTCAAACTTCCTGTTTTCGAACGATATATCCTTTCGCTTCTTTTCGACCTCTCCGCAGAATCCGTACGACGCGATGAACAACACCACTACCCCTTCGCCTAGTCCCGGCCCTGCGGCGAAGAGTTACACCAGTCCCAAGCCCAATCCCCCGGCAACAGCAGGTACAAAGAGAAAGCGAAACGCAGCGGGGAAATTTTATGCTGTCAAGGCGGGCTATCAGCCTGGCATCTACTACGAGTGGAATGACTGCTTGACTCAAGTGACGGGATACAAAGGGGCGGTCTGTATGTACCGAAAGAATCATCTGTCCTGCTAAGTACGCGGCTTCAACTAATATTCATCGTATCCAATAGTCCAAGCCTTCCCAACCTACGAGGAAGCAAATGCTTTCCTTACAGGGACGCAGCTTCCAGCTGCCCGTGGTGCCACTCCTTCGAGTTCGGAGCCAACAAGGTTCTACGGCATCCAGCGAGGACGTGTCCCCGGTGTATACACAGATTGGGCCAAGGCGCAGGAACAGATTAAAGGGTTTGCACGTCCGCGTTACAAGAAATTCTCCACGCGAGAAGAGGCCGAGGAGTTCGTCAGAATGGAGCAGGGAGCGGGAGCGGGAGCTACCTTTGCCGGAGGTACTACTACATCGCGGACATTACCCGGAGCACCAGGTTTTACGGACGAGATACCAAAGGACGAGCAGGGAAACACCTTGGAACCGGGCACTGGTCCATTACCGCCAGGTGCAGAGGATGGATTTGATCCCAATGTGCTTTTGGACCCAGCCACAGGAAAGGTGGTTTACAAAACCAATGAGCAGAAATCTGCAACCAAGACGAGGCCGATTGGTCCTCCAGGGATGTTGCGCATCTACACAGACGGCAGTGCACTGAAGAACGGCAGGGACACGGCAGCGGCAGGCGTCGGTGTCTTCTTTGGGCCCGGTGATACAAGGTTTGTCCTCAGCATTCTCTATATCCCTGCGCTAAACTGCAATGACCTGGGAGTTCCATTGACACGCCTTCTTCCCAGCAGAAACGTCTCGGAGCCATTAAGAGGCAACCGGCAGACTAATCAGCGTGCGGAACTTACTGCAATTCTTCGAGCTCTGGACATCGCTCCTCGGCATCGAGACGTCACCATCTTCACAGATAGTCGTTATGCGATAGACTGTGTGACTGTATGGTTCGTCAAGTGGCGGAAGAATAACTGGTTGACTGCAGACCAGAAGCCAGTCGAGAATAAAGATTTGATCGAGTCGATTTTGGTCAAGATTGAGGAACGCAATGAGCTCAAAGTGAAGACTCTGTTTGAATGGGTCAAGGGACATAACCGCGATCCGGGGAACGAAGCTGCTGACCGTCTTGCAGTTAGTGGCGCTCGAAGGGGAGTTTCGGAGAAAGCAGCAGCTCTGGAAGCAGCGAGCGATATCCCGGATGAGGTTCTTGACGAAGATTTTTAAGCTTGTATACCCGAGGGACATGTTGTGAACATGTATATGATCTGGATCCAGTGCTGCTGGGTATATTGAATGGACGTTCCGCACAGCAGCATGATACTCCCATGAAGGGAAGATGCGACAATGGACTGAGTCAACCGAACATCATATGTCCTTTATTAGCTCTATCTATCTACTTTGTCACTTATCTTAGGCATGACTCCAAAATCAATCAATCCCCATAGGTCAATACCAGCATTTCCGGCACCGGGCAACACCGGTCATTCCTCCAGCATGTGATTCGCTCGTTCACCCTACCGTCATTTCCTCCCCACTCTCTTGGCGCTTGTTTTCTTCTTCAAATCTTCCCCTCAGCCGCCATATCTACTCTTTTCCCTGATCCCTCCCTTGACAAGAATCTCTACCTTTTCTATTTGAGCTCTTGGGGTTGCTTTGAACCGTCCTCCATCTCTCCTCGTTCAGTCAGGTAGACTTGCGTTCCAAGGTGTCGATACCAGGCCTATCGCCAGCAAATACCTATCTACATGATTGGAAAGAAGATTGTGGGAAAACTCGTTTATATTACTATGATTGAATAACACTTGCTAGCGATTCTTGAGATTCAACGATCTCTTCTAATTTATTGGAGCATAATTATCCCATCTCTGCATTTGCGGAACAATTTTGTCAAACGTGCCCACGTTGTGACACCACTTGGCCGCCGGGCTAGCGATTTGTGGCAGATTGGCAATCAATAGTTCACGCATAAGAGTCGAAGCTGCAAGCAAGGGGGCTACGAGCAGCCATGCCTACTCTTTCGCTGATCAACTTCAACATCGTCTGTGCGACGTTGGGAGGTTTTATCTCAGTGTTCGGATTGGTGTCCTATTTGTTCAAGGAGAGGTTTTATTTGTCTGAAGCATGTTCGTGGGACGCCCTTCCTTCTAGGACAACGAATGCATTAAATGCAAATTGCACACTGTGACTGACGGGCAATACGCAGTAATCTCTCTATTGGCGGGCATCGTCTTCTCTCCCCATGCGGCGAATTTCATAAGGCCCCAAGAGTATGCTCTAGGATCAGAGCGGAACCTAGAGGAAATCACTCTGTATTTCACCAGGCTCGTTCTCGGAGTCCAGCTGGTACTGGCTGGAATCCAACTTCCGAAGCGCTACCTGCAGATAGAATGGAAGAGCCTGTCGCTTCTCCTGGGTCCAGGAATGGCCGCCATGTGGATGTGTAGCAGCTTGGTGATCTGGGCTATGATTCCCAATTTTCAGTTCCTTCACGCGATCATAGTCGGTGCCTGTATCACTCCAACCGATCCTGTCCTCTCCAACTCCATCGTGAAGGGAAAGTTCGCGGACAAAAATGTGCCCCGTCCTCTGCAGAGAATCATCGTTGCCGAGTCGGGAGCGAACGATGGTCTGGGCTACCCATTTCTCTTCTTCGGATTGTTCCTCCTGAAATACATTGGAATGGATGGTGAGGGCTACAGTGGAGGTGCAGGCAAGGCAATGGGCCTCTGGTTCTACGAAACATGGGTCTATACAGTAATCTTGAGTGTGGTGTACGGGATCACGGTCGGCTGGGTTTCCAGAGAGATGCTTCATTGGGCCGAGGAGAAGCGTTATGTTGATCGCGAAAGTTTTCTCGTCTTTGCGATCGCGCTTGCAGTATGTTTGGCACCGCTGCACCTCGAAGCACCTTTGATTGCTAACGGTGTACAGCTCTTTATTCTCGGCACCTGTGGCATGATCGGGACAGACGATCTTTTAGCTTGCTTCGTTGCCGGAAATGTCTTCACTCAGGAGTAAGTTCTCCTTGACGGATTCGTGCATACTTTATACTCACGCAATCAGTGATTGGTTTCGCCTGGAAACGATGGATGACTCACTCCAACCGACTATTGATATGCTTCTTAACTTGGCAGTATTCATGTGGTTTGGCGCTGTTTGTCCGTGGTCTTCGTTCGTGCACAACGACATCATTCCAATCTACCGCCTCATATTTCTGGGCGTTCTGATTTTACTTGTTCGCCGGATGCCGATCATTTTCGCCATGCATAAGTACATTCATCAGATCGAGCATCTCTTTCAAGCCGCCTTCGTGGGTTTCTTCGGACCCATTGGGGTTGGAGCCGTCTTCTACCTGTCGGTGACCCGTGAATTTCTGCGTACAATCACGGTGGATGGCAAAGTCCGTGAGGATGCGCAGAGGGTCTCTGAAGGCGTTGACGTGGTAGTCTGGTTTCTGGTCATATGCAGCATCGTAAGTTTGCACTGCACGTATAACAGGGCGGAACTGTCGCTAACTTGCTGTCAGATCGTTCATGGACTTTCCATCCCACTGGTCAAAGCTGGATATCATCTTCCTCGGACCATCTCCAGCGTTCTCAGCACCAGCAGCCCAACGGAGCCTGATCCTGTCCCCATCGCGAACATCCGCCACACCCACAGCACTGCCACCCGGGGCGCGCCTGCCAACAGAGGTCGTAAGCGCGGTAATGGGCGCGAAGCTCCGGAATCCGCCGTCTTCCAGATTGGTCGATCTGTGATTAGGCCAACATCTTCTACGGAGCAGCCGCAGATCGGGACAGGAAATGCCGAAGAACCTGCTAGACCGGTGAACCTCGTTATCAACGATCGCGAGACAGGTGCAATCTCAGGTACTGCTAGTCCGCCTATAGAGAGGTGATGATCTGAAAAGGATCCATTGCTTTTAGCGATATCAACTTGGACTCTCAGTTCCCCGATGGTGTCCGGTTCTTGGACACTTAAAGATGCTTTTGCTAATCTGGACATATCAACGGGCTCAGCATTTGATAGACTGTTATTAGATATCGCACAGTCTTTTTGCCTTTATAGTTCGCCGCTTTTGCTCATTTTTGAAGATAAATACCTTCATGCATATTGGTCAGAATTTGTTGGACGCCTTGTTGATACTTAACATGCAGTACATATTACAGATCAGGCACAGCAGATTAGATGAAATTGGTTTAGAATTTCCGAAAACACACTTTTGGGATCTTCATAAACTCCTCTCCGTTTTTGTCCCATCACTCCATCAAATCATCGTCGTGGTCGTTGTCGTCAATTGAAACACACGCACCGAAAAGTCACCACTCACGAAAGCAAATGCCCTCATATTTCCATCATGAAAAAGGTTACATGTAGCGACTATCGAGGCAAGAGGAAGTAGAAAATCGGTCCAGCCACCGTCCCACCAGAGCCGGGCCTGTACAGCCGCCAGTAATCCCGTTTCTGCACACCTCGTCCGTTTCGAATGTCTGCCTGATCAGCCGTAAAGAAAAAGCCACGCACCCTCTCGATCGACATGTCTATGGATAAGAAGATTCGTGGTGTCGTTATAAGTCCAATCCACGCCGCATATCAAAAAAGACCCGTTTTTGTCCGCAAGGCGACAAAACCAAATGTGGAGCTATGCGAAAAAATGGGGGTATATACCAGAGAAAAATCCCACCAGATACAGCACTGCGAACATAAGGTCAAGAGATGGATGGACAATCAACATGGTGAAAACAAAAAAAAAAAAGAAAAGATAATCATGACGAACATCATTGGGAAGAAGAGAGATGAGTGAAATAAAAATGTATCGAATCCGAGGCGCTCATCATGGAAAAGTCATCTGAGCAAGTAAATCAAGTGCTGATATTGCAGAAGTAAGCCAAGTCTGAGGAAAGAATGGATGAAGGAAACGACTGCTCCCTTCAGCCAATATGCCTCTGATAAATTCGCTCAAACAACATCCGCTTTATGAACAGTTCATGACAAATGAACTACCGATCGGTCACTCAGACCAATGTCGAGTCGTATGTACAGCCGACATAGACACTAGGGAGGTCAGCAAAAGATTCAATAGCCATGCATGATAGTTCGCATCGATGTAGCAAATCAGGCGAGAAATTAGAGGTAGTGATTTGGAGGACGGACGAGAGCTAAGTGATCAGGTCTGCACACTGGCAGGACGATGATAAGGCGAGGCGGCAGAGTCTTCTTACTTTTCCGTGATTGGGGACCTTCGTTAGGTCGCAGGCGCCTCCGTCTTGGAACTCAACGATGCTTTTCAATGCCTACTTGGCGTTCATGCAATACGTTGGTAGAACAGAAGATATGCCACTTTGTTGTCACGAGATCCATATCGGCCGATGGGAGTTCTGACTCCAGAAGAACCTCCCGAAGCAGCGGCAGCAGAGGCCCCGTTTAGAACGGCGGAGGTGGACTTCTTGCTCGAATGGCCTCCCATGCTTGTTCCATTCACTTGACTCCAGCCTCGTTCATTGTCAGATTGCTCCTGATCATCCTGGTCAATATGGTCGAAGATATTAGCGTTGGAATTAGTGTCTCGCTTGTGCTGCTCGAGCGCGGCAGCGAGCACTTTGGGATCTTCTTCGCCGCCGGCTTCCGCGACATCCTCGCTTTTGATCCGGCGAATGACCGTATCATCGAGACGAATCCACTCGCGACCGTCTTGACGGCGCACGTCTACCGTGTAATGCCCGCCGCTAGCGTTTCTGCCATGGTGATAGATGACACCAATGAGGCGGTATTTGGGCAAACCACCATGAGACATCATAATATTGCGTTTGTTCGGAGGAAAAACCTCTCGGGGAATCTCCAGGTCCAGGGGATACCCAATCTTCTTCCAAATCTTCTGCGTACCTCTGGTCACGCTGTCATACTGGAAACGCTTCAGATGGAGAATGAGGACAGGTGGCAGATTTTCAATGAATATCTGCTTGGTGGCAGTGACATTTGGACCGCGCGAAGAGTTAAAGTCACCTTGGATGCTCTCAGGCTTGGTTAGACCTTTCAGAGCGTCGACGATATTGTGGATATCGGGGGAGCCAATGTCGAGCTGCAGAGGCTGATAAGGCTCCAAGGTCACAGAAGTCTTGTTGCCCGGTACCTTGAACTCCGATCTGATCTTGCCACCGAATATTCTGGTGATAGGAGACTCCTGTGCGATGTGACCGGAAGAGCGTGTGATTGCAGCCTTTTGT